TTTTCCCGAGCAAAAAGCAGAATTTCACCGCCGCACGCTGTCCACGAAAATCAGCCATAGCAAAAACGACGATCACACAAAACAGTTGTCACTATAAACTCTGCCGAAACTAGTCCTTACCTTCTGAAGCAACGGTAGTCAGCTTATCGACTCAGGAATGTTAGCTCTATGCGCTCATAGCGGCAAAACGCGGTACTACAAAAGCTCTGCCCACAAAAAATTACTTTGGTTTCTTTTGGGTACCCCATTGTATAAAAATGTATTCACAATTCAGACCAGGAAGACCTCCAAAGAAATACACTGTCTTAAGTTTTGTCTGGACAAACAAGTAACTCATCTGCCATCTAAATGCCACGTTTATTTTTAAAGTATGTACTCAACTTCGAAGAAACAGCATTTTTCATATTTTGATCCAGATTATCTGACATCTGGATTAACTGTAACCAGATCAGTGAGGGTTTACTGTGTGTTTATTCTAGAAGTTCCTAATATTAACATTACCATATTTGTGTGCATATAAGCTGCACTTTTTGATGCAAATTTACTCTACAGAATTTGCATGCAGTGAAGTGTTACATACATTTTTTGTGATTGTTTCGAAGAAACTGCATGCTTTGAAGAAAAGCAATTAGTGTGTGGACAGTCGAGCCTGCAGTGATCATGTTCAATGCTGATGAACACCCAGTAGAGGCTGTTAGTGTATGAGAAGGTGTTAGTTATTTCTTATGAATCCATATCAGTTTCATGTCATCGCATGGTCAGAGCTGGCCTGTGTACGATTGCCATGGTTGGATGTCATTTTAACAAATTCTGTCGTCTGGAAAATTGTTGCATATGCATGAAGGCACAAACATATTGCTGGAATATCAGCATATTTTCGTTACGTGAAAGTAGTTGACAACATCAGTTCCCAGATATCTGAAGACCAGGCCAGTGCTGACAGATTACTCTTAAGTACAGTAGAACTTGGTTATAACGTCATCAAAGGGACCTAAAAATAGTGTCGTTATAAACGAATGTCGTAACCGAAATGGGCACTTTCCACAGTAGCCTTATGTTAGTCATGTAAAAATCTACCAAAAAATGTTAAAATGTTGCATTTTTTAGTGAAATATGTAGTTAAGTACAGACTAACGTAACATTAACGTGGAATTAATATGGATTCTCCATATCGTTTGTCCTGTAGAAGTCACCAAACCAAATTCGCGGCATACATCAGCTTTTTTCCTTCCATTTTCTATTTCACGAATCACTTTAACTTTCTCTTCAGTGCTTAAAACTTTCCTTTTCATTGCCATGTTTTCACTACTGCACTTCTCTGGGTTTAGGCAGGAACACTATAGGGTAAGTAGACAATGTGAGGTCCTGTTAGACAAGATTCTAGGAAAGGAATGCAGTTAACAACCTGCCGTGTCCTCTTGCACTATTCACTCAGTCCCACCCCACACCCTTGTTTTCACATAAAACCCACGCTCCTCTTGCAGCCCGCGGTCGTATTCTTCCAGGACAGTCACGTCAGTAAGTAGAGAAAGTGAGGGTGGGCAGACACATCGAACTTTCCCACGATATCAGAGAAATTCAGGAATGAAAATGACGTTACATACGAGGTTGATGCATTTGTGCATGTCGTACTAAGCAAGGTATAAAAACAGTTGCTTTATGAGGAATTAGTTCGTACCATTGAATATTTGACGCAATAGACAAGGTGCCGCAGAAACCGATGTTGCTATAACCAAGTTTTACTGTACTTCTAGTGACAGCCAGAGTGCCTCAAATGCAGTCACAAATGTTTTAGTTTCACACAAGTAAAATATAGTATAGCTTACACTGGGTATGCCTTATGCAGTAAATGGTACTTATTGTCATTGTTATTTCTAGTTGCAATTGAACCAGTTCATATTACTGGGGTGAGTATATCTTTCCTTGTCTGCTGAAAAATTTGTACTGAGGCATGTCAAAATATGACTTTGTTTGTGACTTGTTGACAGTTACAGAGACTTTTGTGGAGTGTTTAATTGCCAAGTAAAGACTTTTTTTTCCCCTTTACTGCATGAAGTAGTACAGTTCAAAGAATTTTGATGTTGATATCCAACCCAAAAATTTTACAATCTCTATATTCTGTAGCAACATCTTTAACCCTTTCCATGCTGATTTTCTTCTTTGTGAGTAATTTAAAACAGAAATATCGAAGGCTCTCTATATATATTTGTTACCTAACCTAACTTCATTGGATCTGAAATGTCTGAGACATATATATACAGAGTGTACCAGGAGAAAAGGTCAATATTCTGGGAGGTCATAGTGTCAGTCATTCTAAGCAAAGAAGTGTGTGTACCTGTCCTATTCCGAGTTGTTTCTGAGATACAGCTATTTCACTGTACAGTCCCAAATTTTTTTATAGGAAAGAGATAGGTGATGTTTTTAACACCAGTATTTCTTATTCCAGTGACAAAAGGTGGTACAATTTATCTAGTATCTGTACACTACATTTTTGAAAATATGAGGGTGAGTCAAACGAAAACTAAAAATTTCTTTAAATTTAATTTATGGAATGAAAGCGGTACATAACTATATCATTTTTCTACATAGTCTCCATTTCGTTCAATACAGGGCCTCCAGTGTTTACAAAGTGTATGGATTCCTCTAGAAAAAAATTCTTGTGGTTGTCTGCACAACCACTCATGCACCGCCTGCTGTACGTCTTCATCAGAACGGAACTGCTTTCCTCCCATTGCCTCTTTGAGTGCCCCAAACATATGGTAATCACTTGGGGCTAGGTCTCGTGAGTGTGGTGGATGTGGAAGTCACTCAGAGTGCAAGTCTTGGATTGTTGCAACTGTTGCACAGGCAGTATGGGACGGAGCATTGTCATGTTGCAAAAGGACACCTTTAGTCAAAAGTCCACATCACTTTGATCTGACCTCAGATCGAAGGTGATTCTTCAAGAGATCTGAATATGAGGCACTGGTGGTAGTGTTCTCCCGATGTGTGTAGTGCTCCAAGAGTATGCCTCGTTTGTCCCAAAAGAAAGCATAATCCTCCCTGCAGATGGCTGCGTCCAGAACTGCTTGGGTTTTGGTGATGAGGAATGACACCATTCCTTGCTCGTTCTCTTTGTTTCTGGTTTGTGGTAGTGCACCCAAGTTTCATCACCAGTAACAATTCTCAAAAGGAAGTAATCACCTTCTGCTTCAAGGCGCCACAGAAGTTCTTCACAGGTGTCAACATGTCGTTTCAATTCTGGAGTCAGCTGCTGTGGCACCCACCTTGCAGACACTTTGTGAAACTGGAGCACAACATGAATGACATGGTGTGCTGATCTGTGACTCATGTTAAGAATTTCGGCTATTTAATCCACAGACACTCAGTGATTCTCCATCACTAAGGCTTCAACTGCTGCAATAGACTCAGGGGTCACAACTCTGTGCACCTGACCCGGGCGAGGAGCGACTGCCACAGACTTCACACCATTTCTGAATTTCCTACTCCATTTGTACACTTGCTGCTGTGACAAGCATGCATCACCATACTGAACCCTCATCCATCAATGAACTTCAGTCAGTTTCACACCTTCACTGATCAAAAAATGAATTACAGAACGTTGTTGTTTCATGCATGTACGTAGTGGAGCAACCATCTTCAAACTGGCACTGTGATGGCGTTCTGTTTTTCTGCATTATACTGCCACCTATAGGATACTCTTTATAGCATTGGTAACATGTCTGCCAACTTATAGGACAATGGCGCTATATTTCAAATTTTTATCTCAGTTTTACGGTTTTAAGTTGACTCGCCTACGTACCATCATCAACAATAAATGCACTTTACAAGCACGTGAAGACAGCATATCAGCATATTTGGCTTTTTTGAAGATGTGCGGCATTTTTCACAACACTCCAAGAATGTCACTGACAACAGTCATAATGGCCAGCTGATGCTTCCCACAGTTTTACATGCAGGGAGGAAGGATGATATTGGAGCAAAATCCAAACTACTCTGCAGTGAAATAACCCTGTCTCAGAAACTGTTTGGAATAGGACACATGTACATATACAATTTTTTGTTTGAGTAACCCATACTATGATGTCCCAGAGAGTGACCTTTCCTCCTGGGACAGCCTGTATATATAGGAGGGAGAGTCAGTAAATACATCACAAGTGGATGTCAAACCTAAAGCACATGATATTCGAAATGGGGGGGGGGGATTTTTTCCCTCAATATATTCTTGACCAACATTGATACACTTGTCCCATTGCTTTACCATTGCATCAAAACCTGCAGCATAGAAGTCTTCTGAATGTTGTCTCAGCTATTTTCACACCTCCGTTTCCACCTCATCATCGGCAAAACGTTTCTAGACCCAGTTGTGAAGTGCTTTACACGACAGACACTTTTCAGTGAAAGACGAACATTTTTATGAATATCCTTTGCATCGAGCCCTTTTGCCTACAGAAAACATACAACAGAACGCTGCTCTTCAGTAGTATACTCCTAGAATGTCATGTAGTTGAACTGTGCTGCTACCTAGTGATACACATAGGACACCTGTTTACTTCGTTTTGTGACCTCTGTACTGACTGCCTCGTGCGTGTGAGAGTGGGGGAGGGGGGCATCAAGAAGAGGGTTAATTTACTACATTTGCATTTCTTGTGCAGTTTTGGGTTAAATTCATAGGAAACTAATTTAATAAAACAAACTTTATGATATCTTCATTCTGGTTGGTGCACAACATGTATAGAGCTTTGTCTCAGAACATGAGAGAGAAACCAAAGTGAATGTTTGAAATTTGTTTTTCACATAAATTACTTGAGACTAAATTAATTATTGTTTTAAGTGTGAGTGTAAGTATGACATCATATCATGTCGTACAAAATATTTTTTTTTTTTTAATTTCAGGATTTCAGTTTCATGACATAAATTTGGTGTAGGATGAAACTGTATCATTCTTACTACAGAAGTACACGGTCCTGTGAAGCTTATTTCCTCCTTAAATTGTGTTACCCTCACAGTTACTGAGAAAGTGGACAGTTACAGATGTCAGTGAAGAGGAATTACACTAATGATTTCCTGACAGGTTGTAGAAACCCTGAACTCACAGCAGAAAATTACATGACCATTCTTGAGGGTTGTGTTTTCTTCTAAGCTCTACAAGTATCATAGTAAATGGATGGTAAAACGGTAAATTTATTCCCGTGCTTAAGTATGCCATGAAGGTATATGGGGAGTGGATGTCTAGATCCACATTTTCTTGACCTTGGCACTAGCTGGAGGTGAGTGGTCAGCTTCACATCCCTGCCACTTTACCCCCAGGGAAAGAGCCTTCAGTACCCATTGGATAGGAGGCTGGTTGAGCCCCAGAGCTGGTCGGGACGGTATGGAGAAGAGAAAATTCTGACCCTACCAGGACTTGAACTCCGACCCGTCAGTCATCCAGCCCGTAGGCAGTTGCTATGCCGACTGTGCTACCCTGCCTCAGACTAAAATGGATATACTAAAGATTTAATGTGTCTTAGTATATCAAAAGCCAATTACAGTGGCTGTGTGGTCTAAGGCATGAAATGCATTTGGTAGCTCAAAGACTGGGATTGTGGGTTCGAATCCCACTCAAGGCATGGATGTTTGTCTGCATTCCATGTGTCTGTTGACCCATGTAGTTAGCAGCCTTGCAACAGGCTGATCCTCTGTCCAGAGAGCCCTACCAACTGTCTAAGATTAATAAACTGAAGTGAAATGAAGTGTTTCACGGATGCCATATGCCCCAAAGTGGGAGGAACAGAAATAATGATAGATGGATAATATATCAAAAATGTTAATTTATGTGATGCTTTTTCAAAGAATAGTTTGCTGTTATAGAGGGGAGGAAGTGCCTCTGCAACGTGAAGCCAGTCATGGAGTGGCAGCAGATAGCAGCAGTAACGTTTGGGACGGGACTGAAGATACCAGCAGTGCAGACATTCGAGTCAGTGACCTGCCCATCAATAGCACTCAGGTCACTGATATGGACGTAAGTTCTGATGGTGGCATTCTCCATGGACGAGGTAACCAAAGTAGTCAGCAAAAGCAGGAGCAGCACAGTCAACAGCATTCCCCACATCATCATCATCACCACCCCCATCAGCAGCATCAGAACAATAGTAGTTATAATAGCCATAGCCAAGGCAGTACAAGCCTTCATCACATCGATCACATTACGGGTACCACTGCAACAAGAAGCCAGTTTCATCCACCCCTTGTTCAGAAGTCCTCCTCAGCCACAACAGTCACACCGCAAGCTGAACTCCTTCACCCAACAGCTTCTCCATAGAATTGCCTGTTATGCAACCAGTAACAAAGTACTGTTACTGGAACTATTTAAAATGCTAGGAACAAACAATAAAAATAAAAAAGTATGTTTCGGATGGATGCGGGTACAACTCGGTATTTTGTTTATTAGTAACTGAGGTAATCGGTGTTATTAAACTACCATAACACACTATATACTTCACTGATGCTATTGAAACTGTTACTACTTATGCTACCATCTCATAGCCGTAATGATCATTGCCATTTCTACCGCTGTCATAATTCATGTACCTATCGAATGTCTACAGTGTCATCATACATTTAACTATATACAGATCCATCATGTCTGTGTGAGCACCTCCATGGTTGGCAGGTTGAATCACTTGGTTGTTCGTGACATCTGCTACATGTAGGTAACGGCATTCAACATAGAAGCTCCTAGCTTGTCGCTGATTGATGCAGGGAAGTGTATCAATTTGCTGTTTATAAGTTCCCTAAAGCCATGTTATGGTCATCAGGATCTTGGATATCCTGACCAGTCACATGATGTAGAAATGGTTTGTTGCAGAAGTTGCCTTGGTTAGTGCGAAACGACTGAATCACCATGCGCTTGTAACATTTCAGGAAATGTGGTGGTATGTGGTATTCTGAAGTTCTGCTTCTTTTTGTTTGTCAGTTTGAGGTCTTCTGGAGTGAGACATCATGTAATCTCTTTGATCTTTAGAATTATTTGGAGGGGTACACTGTGTGCATGTTCTGTCCTAAAGCTTAAAGCTGAATCTTGCTTTGTAACAGTACCAGACTGCACAGAGTCACAGTGCAGACAGCAGTAAACTTAATTGTCACTGACCTGAGATTCTGTAGTCTTGATTATTCGATGCATGAAGCTCTGTACCAAAGACAGCGTTGCTCACACAGACCTGCCGGATGGATGAACAGGTTAAGTGTATGGTGACTGGGCACCCCTGTCTGGCTACCTGCCTGCCTATTGCCACCACTGTCACCACCGCTAGTTACAAGCGTTATTTAATGCATGTCTATAAAAGACAGGGAATAGGTGGTGTCCGATGGCAATGATTGCATTTTAAGAGTTTGAAGGTGTAATTTATGTAGTTTGTGTTCAACATCAGGGTCTCTACTCAAATACAGGACAGGATTGAACATAAATAGTGTGCCTGAAAAGCATAAATCAAGTATATAACTCATTATTTTATTCTAAGTGTCTTCAGTTACGATTAGTATATGTCACTGGTCATAACATATATTTGTTTTTAAGGTAGAAATGAAACTGTAACTTTAAATCTCTGTTTATTTTTGTGTGAAATTGTCATAGAAGTCCCAATATTTATTATTCAGTAATATGCGGTTACTCTTAGGATTACTTCGTAGCCGCCAACAACTTCTGATGTCCCGTTAATTGTTTTCACATAAAGTAATGTTCACAGTTGAAAATATTAGCTTTTTTAACCCTTCAATGATGCATGACATATAATTTCTACTCACTTCTTGGGACAGAGTAGAATGTATATTGCTGATGAGTGGGGGCCCTGAATGTATTTTGTAAACAGATGCTGCACCCTCTTCTTGGTTGCATCTGAAGTGTAAGGAACTGTTATATATATAACTTTGTTCTCTGTCAGAAAGAGCCATGGTCTGTGCTCTGTGTGAAGATGGACTGTGCCCACTTGCCCATTTGATGACTGTTGTCTTTATGTGTGATTTAAAACTCTTAAGAGTGGTGATTGTTGTGGTCTTCTGGGATAAGACGCAGTGTAATCTGGTAGACACCAGTGATACAGAGGGTTCAGCTTCTTCCATCTTCAGGGTAGTAAATTAAGCCAACCATTAAAGAATAGTATGGATGTAGGAAAAGGGAGAATTCATACCAGAAGCTGGACTGAGGACCTCATCTGCCATGAAGATTGAGACAGCAGGCTAATCCAAAACATCAGTAAATATCTACCAAACTTCACAGAATCTCATCCCAGAAGATAGTGCTCATTACCTCAAATTTGAAACTTTTCATGTTTCTTTTCACACTTGAGAATGGTTTCGGTCAGATTGTTAAGATATTTGTTCCTACATCTGACTGGTGGTCAGATAAGTGTTCCCATATATGGTTTACTGTATCTGACTTAGGTGAGACAGTAACTAGTCAATGAAAGCATTAAAAGTACCCTGACATTTAGAAACCCTGGACTTGGGATTTAAATTGCCCAGTGAGAGACTGGCAGGGAAGGTGTTTATGTGCCATTATCAGCCTTTCCCCCTCCAAAAAAATAATAAACTCGAATGTAAGATTTGAGACTTTCACGGCGGTGACTATGAAGAAAGCAGTCTTCTGGGATTTGGCACCGTGTATAAGTGGTGTATAATAAACTCGAAGATCAGAGTCATCTCGGTTGTAACCATTATGCAGCGTGGTAGACATTTACCAGTGTGTTTTGGGTGAACCAACTGTACCCATCTTCAAAATAGGAGAGGTCTTCATCCCTATATCTGCCATTTTTTCCAATGCTTGGCTTACTCTTCTTCCTTGAAGATAGAGGCAGTAAATTATGGTGAAACTATAAATATCTGTCAGACTGCACAGCAGGATGCCTCAGAAGACTTACCCCTTTATTAGTGCCTGTCATGAGAACCTCAGTTCTCACAAGTAGCTGACTTCAGCTGGTTTTAAATTAGTTTCGGCACCCGTTTTGTGTGGGGCACGCGATAACGTAGTTTGTTGAGGCACTATGCCACAAACTAGTAGGTCTTGGGTTCAGTTCCTGATGAGGTCATTGGATTTTTCAGTTCACATAATCCTTCCAGCTGCACTATGGCCCTGGGGTCAAGTGAACCCCTAACAGAAATGATTACCAGGAATCTTCCTGGGGGTAAAGAGAAACTGGCGTGGAAAGCTGACCTTGCCTCCATCTGTGAGGCGACTGTTTAGAAAATGTGGGAGCCTCAACATCTAACAACTGTATAGACTTCCACGTCCTGTTACGGGATGGCTTTTTGCCTTTATCAGTGTTTCGTGCATAGTGGTTATGCAGTAATTCCTGTGTCTTTCTGTCACATTTCCCAGCATTCTGCTGTCGAATAGTCCGTTTCCATGTTGATGATGTGGAATCAAATGGGTTCGTGTATAGCCATGGCCATCAGAAATTGAGGCTTATAAATGTCCTTTCTTCAGATGCATATTGATACAAAACTAATCTTTTGGCTGCTTAGGTTAAAGGTGAGATCCATATGTAAGGACTAAGATCTTATGTTCTTCTTCTGTGATTAGTTACTTATATAAATGTGTGTTATCTGTTCACTGCTATGAGCCTTTGCAGTTGTTAGGCGGCTGTGCAGGTAGCCAGCCACTCATTTTATACATGCATGAGACTGGGTCAGGAATCCCGTCTGTTGCAAGTGACTGTGTGTGTATTGCGTTGATGTTTTACACAGGCGACATATATAGTGCGCTTCATCTTCCCTTTTAATACTCTGGTATCTCCTGTTTGCAGTAGCAGTGTAGAAATAATATATATTAAACGCCGCCAAGGAGGGCACATGTTGACTGTCGATGATGTCGCTCTGATTTCAAGAGTATAATGCTGGTACCTGAAAAATAAGTCTTTGTATAATAATAACAGAATGATTTTCTTTTCTCTCCACCTATATACTCTCTCTGTCTGTCTTGTTCTCTAACTTTCTCTTGTAAGGGCTCAGATAGGCCTCGTCTTGTTTGTACCGCTGTATTGTTTGTGTGTTTCTAAGTGACATCAAATAATGTACAGTAGAATTATTCCCTATTTACGTAAAATACATAGGAGGACAATGAGACGTAGCATCATGTATGCAGGCATATGTTGCATTCATGTTGTGTCCGTAGTGTGCGTTTTTTCCACTGAACTCACGTACCCCCCTCCCCCTTTTTTAACATTTTCAAAATAGGCAGCCAGGATAGAAAGAAAATAAATAATTGAAATTTGGTAAATTTCTAGTGGAGTTTTGATCTGCCAGAAGTGCCTTGCATCATTGAGTTGCAAGGGTAATTCATTGCTCCTGAAATTGCGCCATTCTTCTTCGAAAGTAACCTGTCACAGTATAAGCTCATTGTTGGAACAGAGGGGCAACGTTTCAGTTGGAAGTGCCTCAGTTTGTCTCAAATTTAGCAGTGTGTTGTAAAAATATTTCTGATGCCAGAATTGTACCTAGTTTGGATTTGCATGATCAGTGGGAAATATTTGTAATCCGGGTGTTTATTAGGTAATGCTGGTTAACTGACAGGATTGTGTTGCACATCTGAATCCGCATGCTCAGATGTGGATGCTGTATATGTGAGTTGCTGCTTTCCGACACCATTGATAGAATTTAGGTTAGTCGCAAACGTTTCATGTTCCCAACTTCACAGTGTTAGTTGGTTAATGATGGGAATGACAGAAAACGATTTTAAAAATAAATAAAAATGAATTTGAAAAGTTAAACAAAACAATTCTCAAACCAGTTTGGGGTCCTCGGTGCCTTTTATCTGACGTACAAATTTCATCTCCTTAAGGGGTTTTGTGTGTTTGTGTGTGTGTATGTGCGTGCGTGTGTGTGGTGAAAATGATAAGTTACCAAGATGCAAGTCAGGTTTCTCTTTCTGATAGATGTCAGGTTCATTACCCAGCACTCGCTTGGATGGTGGATTTTTCCCGTTGTTACTATCATCAAGAAAACAGTAAAGCCCATAGAATTATGAGGTCTGTCAGTAGTTGCTCTAGTATGTTAACATGGATTTACTTTGCACGGACTTTGATTACATGATGAACCTTTCTTGGTATTAGAAGTTTCCTGTCTCATCTCTGTGAATGTTTTTATGCTGTTTTTTAAATGGCATTGAATTTGAATGGTCTCCTGTGTTCACCAAAATTCATTCTTTAAGAATGCTCGCTTACGTGCTACCTGAGCTGTTCTCACGTAAGTAAAAAATTATTCAACAGATATTAATTCGTTCCTTCATTTAAATAGGTTATTATTTACTTAAATAAATTTTTGTAAAGAAAATTAGACATTGTTCAAATTTTTTACAAAAAATAAATGAAGAAAATGCACTCTTTCTCTTTTGCATTACTGTGTTTTCTGTAAAATGTGACTAAGCAATAATTCCTTCTGAGTTTAACCATGTTCAGTATTCTGGAATATTAGTACATGGACATTGTCCATCACCATGTCTTTATCTAAACACATCGCACTGTGTTTATTCAAATGTCACAGTCTTTCGGAGACTAGATTCTGTCTCCAGCTTCAGGTAAAACCTACTCAGTTGGGCCCAATCGATAGAGCTAGTCCGTATCTCTGAACTTTTATTTTTATTATGGAATATGTTTATATAAGTGGAATAGCATTAATTTATTCAGAGGAGTACATTGCTGTTTCAAAGAATTAATATTGCCTTAGCGGTATTCACTACTCCCAAAATAGCCACAGTTTCCATAAATGTGTGTAGGTTTTGTTGAGTGTTTGTCCTGGAAAACTGAATTAAGATTGTTTGGGAAACAAGAGTGTCTGTAATGTGCTCTTCACAAAATAAGATTGTACAAATGGAATTTTCATATAAGGACTAAGTCCAAACTTCTTGGTATGAATACCTGTTTTTTAAATTATGGGGAATTTCTTCTGTGGGCTTTACTATGTTGATTGACATGTATATCACTGTCAGTTCTCAACTGAAGTGGCGTGATAAAATAAATGCAAACAGGTCATCCATTTTCTGATAGTATCTCTTTTTCCCTTGAGAGGTCCCACTGTCACTCTGTGGTCAACCACAGCTTAACAATTTTTCATGTTTATTTTAAAAAATAACAGTCTCGTAGCCATATTCCAGAGCTCTTGATAAACCTTAAGTAGGCTTTTGTTGGTATTATTATTCCTTTCATGATTTTGATCTAAATTTTTCGTCCCAGGTGTGTGTGTATGCGTGCATGTATGTGTGTGCGCGCATGTGTACATTTGGGTTTGTACACAAGCATGCACACAAGAACAATATTTTAATCATTCAGTTTGCATTTTTTATTGCAGATTTTCTCATACAAATACCTCATTTTTTAAAATAAATAGATTGTAATGCATTTTATACAAATAATAATTTGTTCTGTCAATTTTTAATTGTAGCTGAGTTTATATATGTATATGTGCATGTGCGTGTGTGTGTGTGTGTGTTCTATATTTATAATTTGTAAGCATACTTGCTCCCACCTCCATCTGTTGTAACCCTGCTCCTACATGGCTTTCTTGTAGAATGAGTCAAAGAAAGAAGTTTTCTTGTGAAACTGGGAGTGGTTACATTTCTTCCTATTAAGCTCATGTTTGTGGAAGGTACTACCTAGATTTATAATCTTTGTTCTGAACCCTTCAATCGAAATTCAGTGTATATATTGCAGTTTGTATCGGGTAGGCTGTTCTGGTATTCATTTGAGATATTTTGGTAGTGCTAATGGTGATTTCTCCTATTCTCTTCAGTGATTGTGTTTTGAACCAGAAGCAGACTGAATTGAAGGTATAAAAGTATCAGTGAACTGTGCTTAAAATAGAATTATCTTTGGAATCTGAAGTTGCTAGTTCAGAATCAGTGTAATTTCATGCAAAGTATGTTAAGTACCTGTTAAAATAAGTGTAAAAGGTATATATATATATATATCAGAAGGCTTGGGATGGTATCTTCATTTGTGGGAGTACTTTATAAGTAGTATGGTATGTGAATGGGTTACTGCGGAGTATTGTATCATAGAGAAGTAATCCTGAAGATCTTATACACTTAGATTGTGGGAGCCTGGTCCGTGACTGCAGCACACCCAATAGTAATCGTCAGGAACTGGGTTTGTGCTTCATAGGACAAAAGATCTGCTGTGCCACTCTCATATTTCAAATATCTAGCTCTAAATCCTCCACATAATTTATTTATTTCTTTTTCCCCTACTTCCTTCCCTCATTACTTCCTCATAGTGGATTATTAGCTCTGTTGTGATCGCGTGCACGAACCATTCCTATTTGCTGTTAGTGACCTGTTCCGAAGGTATCCATCATATATGGTCAGCATGTTATTCGCTAAGCAAGTCCATGAAGTGCTGTTTATAAAACAAAATTTAGGTAGGAATAAGGATTTAAAATAGGGCAGTATGTTTGTAAGTGTGTTCAGCTGCAGTCTGAATACACATTCTGTATTTATGAGTGAGTCTGAGTATGTTTTAAATTAATTAGACCATAATTTTAACAATATACTAATGAAAAATATTAAAGCGAGACAGTACCCGATGTTTGATGTCTCATAATACTGTTGACCTAGTCTTTGTTTATGATTTATT